AAAAAAAAAAAAAAAAGAATAAAAAAAAATAGGGCACTTATGGGTTTTGGGGGGCAAGTGACAGCTCATCTTAGGGGCCTGCAGGGTAATTTCTAAATGGGGCTCACAGTTTATCCTCCCTCATAGGGAGGCTGTGATTACCTCACAAAGCTTTTCTAGGGTCACAATAAGACAGCAAAAGCCCGTGCAGGGCCTGCAGGTGTGCTGGGGTCCCGCAGGCAGAAGCTGTGGTTGGCGCATGGCAGAACGTGTCTCTAAAGGGAGCGCCGGGAACAGGTGATAGCTTGGTAAGACGGCTGGAACCCAAGGTAGGTAAGAAGAATGTACCGCCCCATGCTCCTTATCACTGCTTCTTTATATCTCAGCTCAGATATTACCTTCTCCATCAGGCCTCCTCCCATCCGATAAGTGATGCTTCTCTATCTGTGACACCAGCTCTTACCGCAGAGCACTGTAGGGGCTACTCTGGGGGCTTTCTTCCCTGTGACCTGTGAAGACAGGGAGAGGGGCTTTGCATGCCTTGGCAGGTGTTGAAAAATTTTGCTTGCCTAGATAACTAAAGAACTGAATGGGCCGGGCGCGGTGGCTCACGCCTGTAATCCCAGTACTTTGGGAGGCCGAGGCGGGTGGATCACAAGGTCAAGAGATCGAGACCATTCTGGTCAACATGGTGAAACCCCCTCTCTACTAAAAATACAAAAAATTAGCTGGGCATGGTGGTGCATGCCTGTAATCCCAGCTACTCAGGAGGCTGAGGCAGGAGAATTGCCTAAACCCAGGAGGCGGAGGTTGCGGTGAGCTGAGATCGTGCCATTGCACTCCAGCCTGGGTAACAAGAGTGAAACTCCGTCTCAAAAAACAAACAAACAAACAAACAAAAACAAAAAACAAAAAAACTGAATGGGTGGTGTAAATGGGTAGAAAATGAGCTGGCTGGAAGGCGAGTGACAAGGTTTGGATCTGAATCTCTGTTTAAATGCAGGCAGGCTGTCTTCCGGGAAAGCCTATGTTGATGAGGGCTGCGGTGGGAGAGTGAGTGAGCTCCTGCCTGGCACCACCCCACCCTGGAAGGCGCAGTTGGGTAGGAGGTTTCGGAGGCTGTAGACATGGGGATCGGTTGCTGGAGACAGCCCCTGCTGCTGCTGATTGCCCTGGTCCTGTCCGCCAAGCTGGGTCACTTGCAAAGGTGGAAGGGCTTCCAGGAGAAGCCCATGAGCAAGAAGAACATGAATTCGACACTCAACTTCTTCATTCAGTCCTACAACAACGCCAGCAACGACACCTACTCATATCGAGTCCAGAAGCTAATTCGAAGTCAGATGCAGGTTTGTACCTTGCTCTCCCCAGATATCAGCAGGCCCCATTCTTGCCCATTCAGACACGTGAGGATTCTGGGGTGACTCCCAAGAGAGCCGACCAAGCTCTCTGCCAGGCCCCAAGTAGGGAGCAGCTTCACTTGTAGAGGGCCCATTGTAGAATTGTTCAGTTCCCAGAATGTCCTTAGCCATACTTCCAAAATGCATGTCTAAGGACTGGCGTGAAAAATGTTCAAGTGATGCTCCCACCTCAGGCTCCTGATTAGCTGGGATTATACGCACACAGCACCACACCTGGCTAATTTTTTTCATCTTTAGTAGAAACAGGGTTTTACCATGTTAGCCAGGCTGGTCTCGAACTCTTGACCTCAGGTTATCTGCCCACCCTGGGCTCCCAAAGTGCTGGGATTACAGGCGCGACCCACCATGCCCAGCCAACTCTTCTTCCTCGGGAAGAACTGCCTTTCATTCTGATATTTGATCCTGCCAGAGTGACAGCAAAGCTGATGTTGCTCCCTTTAAAGTTCTCATTTGACAAAATTCAAATATTCTCTGTAGACCTGTAGCCCTCAATATTTTTTCAGTGTCCGAGTTTGTAAAATTCAAAATGGGGTTTCCTGTGTTATACGAATTTTAAATTGCACAGGGGATTTATTTTGGGAGTGGAGGGGATGTGAGAGCTATGTTTCAGCCAGATCACCTCGCCTCTGTTTTACGTATACAATTTCTCTCAAATACATCAAGTGAAGGGTAATAGAAGAAAGAAAAGTTGTTTGGGAGTCGCTTTTATTGGTCCAACATTTCCTCAAGGTCAGAGAGTAAATGATACAGTCATCCTTGGTGTCCATGAGGAATTGGGTCCAGGACCCCTCAGGATGCCCACATCCACAGGTTCTCAAGATTCTGATGTAAAATGGAATAGTGTTTCCACATAACCTATGCACACCTTCCCACACGTGGTCAGTCATCTCCAGATGAATTTATAATACCTGGTAGATCATTATTATACTGTACTGCTTAGGGAATAGTTTATAAGAAAAACATGGTCCATATAGAGGCAACCATACATTGTTTTTTTTCCTGAATATTTTGATGCATGGTTGTTTGAATCCACAGATGTGGAGCTCTTAAGTACGGATGGCCGACTGCAGAAGTCAGGGTAGCAATACTACGTCCTAGTTCAATTAGCTGGATTTGGGAAAACACAACTGGCTAGGGGAAAGCTCTCTGGCCAGACAGTAAGGAACCCGTGAGAACCCTCAAGGCAGGAGGGCAGGGTGGGGAGGACGTGTCCCAGTAGTTCAAAGTCCTCGTCCCAGGGCAGACGGGCTGGCTCGCTGAGGCACTTCCACCACAAGATGGCGATGTTGCCCATTTGGTGCTTTCTCTGCTTTTGGGATTGGTCGGGACCCCAAGGAAGCTTGTCTTGAGAAATCAATCTACTTCCTTTAAATGAGCTGTTAGAGAGTAACGATGAGCATTGGATGTGATTCACATTGCTAAGCAGACAGAACAGGCATGCTTCCTGGTCGCTGGCTGATCTTGGCATGGGCCTCCGGGCAC